TGCAGTGTGTGGGGAGCTTCACCCACGCCTTTGTTTTTGTTTGGTCTGTCAGGTGTGGAGGGAGCTGTTCTCTCCACTCCATGCGTTGAATTTCGGAATTGGGGGAGACACTACCAGTAATGTCCTGTGGAGGCTGCAGAACGGCGAGCTGGAGAACATCCGTCCCAAGGTGACTGGACGAGGGGATGAAACATGGGTGATGGTTGTGGAGAGATATAGTACGAGTTCTGGGCATAGGGCTGTAAGGGATTTGAGTATGAGGTGCAGTATGAGGTGGCACAAGAGTGGGTAAGAAATGGAGAATTGGGGGATGGGGATTGAGACATGTGGGTGTAGTATTGGTAGGGGACTGGGGTGTAGGGGGTGAGGATATATGAAATGTGATACTGTCGTTGGCCTGTAGAGGGCGGTGGAATACACAATGGGGAGTCAGGGGGGAGAGGTGTATGGGAGTGGCGTGGCCTGGGTAAAGCGTGCGCTCTGTCTCCAGGTGGTGGTGGTTTGGGTAGGAACCAACAATCACGAGCACACAGCTGAGCAGGTTGCCGGGGGCATCGTTGCCATCGCAGAGCTGCTCACGTCCCGTCTGCCACAGGCCAAGGTCGTCATCCTGGTAAGAGCCACCTCCCTGCCTGCAGCCCTGGCTGTGGAAGCAGTCCGAATTTCAGCCACGGTCCTGGATGAAAGGCACGCTGTGGCTGACCAACTTCCGACTCCGGACACCGCAGTGGTGGGGCGTCACTCAGGCAGCATTGTGCTTGGAGCTGTGGTCTCAGAATCACGTGTCAGCAAGCCCAGAGATCCATGGGAGCCGCGAGGTTGGAACGGCGCTGCAGACACAGAGAGCGTGTCACATTCAGAGGCAGGTGGACTGGCACTAGGGACATTAGCTAACAGAAAGTGTCACTAGTGCCAGATATCAGCCACGGACGTCTTGGCTCTCAAAGGGCCAAGCCCAAACTCTTTCTATTGAGGAAAAAAAAAAGGTTCAGTACTTCTAATTCTGTTCTAAGTATCTACTGCACGTTTCTCATAATTAAAAAATTATCAATTAAAGAGATCTGAAACCTACACCCAGCTGCTTTAGAGAATATAGTCATTCTGCCTGGGAGTTGTTCTCTTATCCCCATGGTTATGTACAGTGGTTTGCATAGGCACGCACTGGCATGTCTGTTATACCTGTTAAATTAAAGGAAACAGGAGGGCATCCAGCCCATCTAGCCCATGTGGTTGTTAGTATTTTTGGACAGCATGGCTGTACAGCTTGTTCCACACTCCCACAAGCCTTTGTCTAAAAACGTGTCTCCTGTTTCCAGTTATCAATGCACTGCCACATAGTATTCACTTGTCCTCTAGTTTCTATTGCACTGTGGATCCGGAAGAAGCAGTTTTTGCTGATTTATAGTTTATTCTACAGCAACAGAGTTAATAAAGTGTAAAACATATTCATATTAAACTGCACCCTTGACAAGATAGCATTTTACTGGGGCACATGAACACACAAAAACAGTTACAGAACACATTACAACAGAAACGTTACAAACAAGAGGTGGCTGTTGGGCTAAAAGACACCTAGAAAATCTGCAGGCCCAGCAGCACTCTAGGAGCAGGACAGGGTCATTGGTGATCAGTCTGGCCTGGTGATGGCTGCACAATAGTGCCCTCTTATGGAAGCAAGGCAGAACTGCAGCTTCTGGAAGTCCATGTTATTCATTCTCATCTGTACACACCTCTCTTTTTCTGACTCCTTCTCTGTCTCTTCCTCTCTTGTTCTTTCCCTCTTCCACTTCTTCTTGGCCCTGGTCTTCTCCTCTCCTCTCCTCTCCTCTCCTCTCCTCTCCTCTCCTCTGTGCTGCTCTGCCTCTCTCAGGGCCTGCTGCCCCGGGGGGAACGTCCCAACCCCCTGCGGGAGAAGAACCAGGCTGTGAACACCATTCTGCGCTCGGCCCTGCCGCGCCTCGGCCCCGTCCAGTTCCTGGACGTGGGGGCGGGCTTCGTGCACTCTGACGGCACCATCTCCCCGCGCGACATGTTTGACTTCCTGCACCTGACTGCCTCTGGGTACCGCGCGGTGGCCAAGCCGCTGAGCGACCTGCTGCTGCAGCTGCTGGACGAGACGCCCGAGGAGAGGCGCGCGTCTCTGGTCTGATGGGCGCCGGGACACTACCACAGAGAGAGAGCGACCAAGAAACACACGGGCAGTGAAGGACGCACTCTGCAGGGAAACAGAGCAGACTCACACAAGTGCAGCTTGATCCATTCCAGGCTCGGGCATGAGGGCCAGCAGCAGGCACAGGGTTGGATGGTTGTTCCCCATTTTTATAGACGTCTCCGATGTGAAACATGTACGGCTGCTTTTCTGCAGTGTCAGTGTAGTTCAAACTGAATGGGTCCCATAAGCATGCAGTGGCTGGCTTATCTCTTTCCCTGCACTCAGACAATGAACCACTGGCTTGCACTGACACTGAGAGAAAACTGAGAATCACACTTTGAGATAACATAGCACCCTTCCACTACACAGTGAGGCCAGCCAGGTATGGACAAGCTATCAAGCTGCAACCTCATCAGGGTAACTCTGCCCCTGCCTCTGCATCTGATTGGATAAAAAGGACTTTGCACACCCCAGCCAGATTGGTCAAGGATGAGATGTGGGGTGGGGCAAAAGTTTGCTTTAGTTAACTTGCCCCAAATTCTGAAACTCCGGATTTCACTCTTCACCGCCAGGTTACAGGGGCAATAAATTGGCTGCACTGGACGTGGGGGAGAGGTGGTCTTTTGGGGTTCCTGGGGAGTAATACAGGGAGTGTTTAATACAGAGGAGGCTTGGTGTTGTATCAAGTGGGGCTGAGGGAGAGAGTGAGAGAGACTTCAAAAAGAGATTTGTAGCATCCAGTCCTGGAATCCTGTATAAAACTGGAAAACTGGATAAAAAAATGGCCAGGAAAACTTGTAAAACTCGTTAGACCTGTGCAAGTCTGTGAGCTATGCTGATGCAGCTGGGAAGACAGCCCATTTGCCTTTATGTGAAACAGCTCAAATATTTGATGTCTATGAGGAATAAAACAGAAAATCAGCTAGGATTGTGGAGGTTGGATCTCCTCAAGAATTGGACTCCCATTGCGTAGCTGGTACAGTACGGCTGCAGATATTTTAAAATTGAGTTCTTTTCCTTTCCTGCTTCCTCAGTACAGCTCAGATGGGGGCCTGCAGCCACACAAACCTGAAATGGATCAAACTGCTCTGCGGCTGGAGTCTTCCAGTTTCCCTGTTCTGCCTCACTGTGCATTGCATGTGTCCGTGTTGCGTGTCACCACGTCAACATGTTGGAGTCTGAGAGGTGTCCCGTGTGAGTGTGTGTATTTCAGCATACTTGCGTGTCTGTGTCACTACAATGTGTATGTTTGGGAGCAAATGTGCGTGTTGGTCTGAGTGGGGCGGTCAGGATGTGTGTTTGTGCGTGACTGATTGTGTATATACAGTATATATATAAATATCTAACCGCAGTAGATGCCTTGTGCTGTAGGAGGCAGTCTGTGCTGTGCAGTGAAAACCTTGAGTAGAAGCACTGTGCTGTGTTGTCCAGACAGAGCAGAGTCTGTGTGCTGGCTGGGCTTATCTTGTGTTTGATGTAGCAGAGCATTTCAATAAAGGACCATAGAGCTGAGTGCTGTCTGAGACTGGTCTTGACTCTGGGTTTGAGAATCGGATTGCTGTGCCTTCCTGGCCCAGTTTCAGTCTTGCACAACAAGCAGGAACAGGTGACCACTTGCCTCCTGCAGCAAGGGGCTGCCGGTGACACTGTCAAAACAGCATCCTTTCCTCATCAGCTTCATGTCAGGGCACTTACAGAATTCATGTCTTTATGGGTGGATCTTTGCAGTCCCCTGGTGCAGAAACACTGGAACCAAAATGGCCCTGATCTACCTCTGCCCCTGCCTAATATCTATAGAGTCTCCAGTCTCCAACCTCGCGCTTGGTTCTCAACTGCTTGCTGAAATATGGCCTCTAATGCCTCTGCCTGTGTGGCCAGTTCATTCCAGACTTGGTAAGGCCTCATTCCAGAGAGCACTGTCTGCACGGAGAGTATAGAGGCTTTGTGAATTTCATAGCACAATGGTTAGTTGTAGAGATAAATTGCGTAAGTTTGTTTTGGCTATTCTGAATCAATCAGCTAAACAACATAAAGTCTTCACAAGGATTCACAACACATGGGATACATTTATTGAAACATAAACCAATATACATTCAAAATATAGTGAGTATATAGAAGAGATGCATAAAAACAAGGATGCTACATTTAGGATACATTTGGTTACATTTGGTTATTTGCAGATGTGCCTATGTCCCTCTGCTAGATAAGAGTGGACATCCATCATAAAGGATGAAAATGGACTGCCCTGGCAAAGATTCTTAACCAAAAAATAAGCTCCTCACCTTTACATGCTCACAGGCAAAGACCCCTAGGTCAGCATGATGCTGAGACAATCACAAGTATCCTTTGTGAAAACATCTAGGAAACGTTCGAAGTTTGGATGCAAATGTAGATGTTGTACTTCTGTTTCCAGATCATCAGCCAAGTGAGCTGCACTCTTATTGCCCAGGTCCACTTTGCCCACCCCAGGGCTGCAGAGGTCCTTTAGTGGCAGGACTGCGATCGTCCGGTTGGGGACAGGGAAGCTGTTCAAGGCTGTAGTAGTGAGTTCAAGGTGAGAGAACTTGCTATCCATTGGCGGACCCACGTCTGCCTGGGTAGAGTCCCTGGCACGGCACCTCCCTTTTTGTTCAGCACCAGTAAGTACAGGACTTGATCCTGGTGTTTAGGGTAAGGGGTGCTGGAGACCATCAGGTTAGATGTTACAACCTCAATGTCAATGGCTGGAAAACGGCCTGTACTGCTTGCATACTCTGTTCCCTGCTCTCTTTGAGGTAGAATCGGACATCTGCAGTTAATGTGGGGACCATCAGGTCACCCCCATTTACTACCTGGCAAGTCTGAGGAGCAGTTTGACCTAAGAGACCATGATTGTCATGGTCGTCATCAAGGAGATTTTCTCCTGGGTTCACATGTGTCTGTGACATGCCCCCACTCTTAATTTATTTTACCATCTAAAACAATTCAATAAATGAATTATGTAAATAGAAAACTTTTATTAAACACCTTTGAAGAACTCACAGTGAATAACTTATAAACAAGAACACAAAGCTCACATTTTACAAAGATAAAGTATTTTAACATAGAAAGTAATAAACTAACATTAATAACAATGAATAACTATAAACAGGACCTCTGTTACTTCAAAACTAGTGCAAATCTTACCATAACTACTGAAACCTTTATAGAAAGGAATTGTATAAATATAAAATAAAGAAATAACAAACAAGTGCACTCAATAACAAGGGAGGTGGGATAAGTAAAGCTGAGAAAATGGGAAAATCAATTGGCCTATATTTTCAGCCTCAGGTGTGTTATAAATATGAGCTCTGAAAGCTCCTCTCTGCTTCTGCCACTGTCACAGGGAGAGCAACAACAATCCGAAGGGCTACAGGTTGAGTTCACAATACCCCCATTTAGTGAAATGCAGGAGAAACTACGAGGAAAACATGCATTTTTTGTTAATTATGTATAATTGCTGAACAGTCTTTTGTACTGTACATTCGCCTTTCATGTTCGTGTTTGGCCTGGCAGCACCAATTTTTACGCAGTTTTCCCACACAGCACAGTGTATAATAACTGGAAATGTGAATCTGTTCATTTCTAGTAAAACAACTCAAGTAGTCTCTGTCTCTTAGCTTGAAAATGTGGCATCTATACTGTTCGCTAGTCACATGGATCTGACAGACTCAAAACCAAATAAAATACAAATCATTACATTATTATGCACATAATGCATGATATGACTAAATGTGGCATACCTCTGGTTTCAGATCTAGTCCGCTCTTTTCTGCGCTTCAGAAACATTTCGTGCTCTATTAAGATTGGTCATTTTTTGACTGGTTTTCCATTAGAATAATTCAAAGCAGCAACAGAAAGAGACGCTATAGGAAATTGTTTCGCTCGCGTTTGAACATGCCAATTAAAAACATGTTGTGTTGCACCTTGAGGAAGCTCCCTGGCAGCCTCAGGGCCCTAGACAGTCACCTAGTTTGCCTATGACCAGACCCGGCCCTGCATGTGGGTCCGGTTTCCTTCTGGACACCAGGTCTCACTAACAGGTCTGTAGCTAAAGAAGCTGAGTGAGACAGCTGTGGTGCTATTGGTTATTTACAGACAATTGAGGTACTAGTGGTTATTTTTCCAGGAGTGTCAGAGTAAAGCTCAACAGCATTTACCGAGTGAAACAGCTTTGGGAGATTTGACCACTGTAGCTCATTCATTCATCACCTCCAGAACTGAATCTACTACCATTGCACCTCATTCATTCATCACCTCCAGAACTGAATCTACTGCCGTTACACTTCATTCATTCATCACCTCCAGAACTGAATCTACAACCATTGCACCTCATTCATTCATCACCTCCAGAACTGAATCTACTACCATTGCACCTCATTCATTCATCACCTCCAGAACTGAATCTACTACCATTGCACTTCATTCATTCATCACCTCCAGAACTGAATCTACTGCCTTTACACTTCATTCATTCATCACCTCCAGAACTGAATCTACAACCATTGCACCTCAGTCATTCATCACCTCCAGAACTGAATCTACTACCATTGCACCTCATTCATTCATCACCTCCAGAACTGAATCTACTACCATTGCACCTCATTCATTCATCACCTCCAGAACTGAATCTACCCCCTTTGGACTTTATTCATTCATCAGCCCCATAACTGCTCCAGACCTGCACTTCACAGGCTGCTGTGAGACTTTTTTAGGGCTGTTCTTTCATTAAAATATTTGCTTGCTTGCATTGTAAGATACATTTGACTAAAATGTGTGTAGTCAATAGCTGGGGAAAACAACTTTCAGTAAGTAATAAATTGTGGGTTATTTGTGTTAGCAATTAAAAGATATGGGTGGAAATCATAATAATCTCCAATCTACCTAATGTGTATAATTCTCATGTACAGTAATGCATTGCCTTTGAAAAAGCAATTTCAGCATATTCTAATTAATTTTTAAATTCCTTCCCCAACACCGCCTTGCACACGCATCCTGTTCTTGAACGGCTTGAACCACGAGGTCAATTGTGCAAGTGATTACAGGGAAAGTTTCGACACGTGTTCTGAACAAACAAAATCTTTCGTCAGTTCTGTGCTCATGTGTTTTCGCCGCCAGAGCGCCCTATGCGAAATTTTAAGGTATGACTAGTGTTTTTTTTTAATTGGGCGGTAGAAACGACTTCCTGTACAGCAAAGACCTACGTTCCCTGGTGGTGTCAGCTTTTACAGCTGTTCAGAGGCAGCGATAAATCATCGTTTCTCCTTCAATCTGCGTCATGCACTGAGGCTCACAGAGAATATTAAACTGCACTCAGAACTGAAGGTTCTCAGTTGGTCTTGGAAACCTCAAACGGCGCCTGTAGTTTTCTTTCTCCCCGTAAATAGCACCACATGTTAACCGGCGTTTGGGGAACGAAAATAAAAGGGCAGGTCCCGATATTTATCGAAGATAACCGAAGCGATACGAAGCTCCGGGGTGCCCGAAGTGCGGCGGGGTGACGTCATTCAGCCAGGATGTGTAAACAACAGCAGTAGGAATGGGAGCTCGTGAGGAGACGCGGGTTCAACCCCTTTATTGATACAGCGGTGACGACACGCTTCGGCAGCGTCCGTAAGGATAGTACTGAGATACGGAAGCCAGAAGGACGCTCCTGTTAGATGTTAAGACGGGCAAATCCACAGCTCCCCTAAGCCTCGTCCGAGCCCCAAACCCGGATCTGTCCGAGATTTCTCGTGTGACACGGGGAGCGACGCACTGGTGCGGGGGGCTGGGGAAACTGTCTGCAAGCCGGGGGGACATGTCACTCAAGGCGGGCGAGGGGATGGCGTTGTGAGGGCACAAGGGTCCGGGCGGCTGCCCCATCGTCCGCCGGGCCGAGGAGAGGCAGGGGCCGGCTGCACTACGCGTCTGCATCCGAGGAGACGAGGGGAAAAAAAAAGGGGCAGACGGACCCGGAGTGCGGAGACTCGCATGTCTCTTGTTCGGTTCTGCTTACGTGAAGGACTTCCGGAGTCTTTTTTTTAAACCAACTGTTCCTCTCCGGCCGGGAGTCCTCAGATGCTGAGCGTACTGGCCGACGGCAGGCGTCTGGGGGGTAACAACTGCCGAAGGGCGACACTATTCAGAGCACAAACTGGTCGGGATCTAGCTGGGGGCACCTGCCGGCTGCACGTCGCCATGGCGACCCGGAGCTGCTGGAAGTCGCGGCACAAGTCCGGTACCGCGGCGGGTCCGGCCGCCCTTCTGGCGCTGTGTCTCGGTCTGTGTCAGACCGCCGCCGGGCAACACGCCGGAGCAGCGGCCAAGACCGTGGTCCAGAAGGACGGGGAGTTCGACACCACGTACAACGACACGGCGAACAGCGAGCAGCAGACGATCTACGCCTTCAACCACACCGTCTCCCGGAACAAGGTGAGGCAGCTGCGGGCGGGGGTGTTGCGTCGTCTGTGGGTGCCCTGGATCCAAACCCGGAGTTTGAGGACGGGGGGACACATTCATAATTAAAAAGAAACAACGGGCCGTTCCATGCAAAAACAAAGCATGGATTTTTTTTTTGTTGCAATTTTGTTTTCTTCTCCTTTGGGTTTTTGGTCTGTTGCTGTTTTCTTTGAACTGTCCTCGACACACAACAACCTCAGACACACCTCTGAGTTTGATTTAATTCATACGCTGTTGGCCTCCA